GAGTTTGTAATATTTGTACATATTGATGAATATAAATACAATCATGTTTCTTTATGGTATTTATATAAAATATGAAATCTATGGATAAAGAAAAAGAGAGAAAGATAGATTCAATTCTTCTAATATAAATTATAGGGGTAGCACTTGTGGCGAAAGAACTTGCCTTTGTAATATTAAGCAATATGCTGGAAATGCGGGTATATTTCTCCTATTTGGATTAGGAAGATTGGTGCCTTGCTTTATTTCTCTCGGTTTGGGTGTTTCATTCTCTGGTTTACTCGATATTTTATATTCTTTTCTTGTGATCGGAAGTCTCCTACTGTTCTTCTTATAAAAATCTATTTAGATCTTGATGGTCGAGTTAATTATTGCTATAAGCATTGTTTCTTGCGACTATTGTTAAAGATTTGTTTTATATCTCTATCGTTGAGTAATTTATTGTTATAAGCAAACTTTATGCTTTATAGTGATTCAGTTGAGTGTAGGCTGCTATTGGAAAATTTTGAAGCAATTTCTATATATACAAATCTTTCATATTATTTTCTCCCCATATTTAGAAAAAAGAGATGATGAACGATGAACATGATTGTCCTGTGGATATAGAGTTCTTGAGAACTCGAACTATATAAATTTTTTCGTATTCCTGTTTTCATTTCTTCACAAATACTATTTTGAAATTAATTCTTTCATGTTTATAGAAATCAATAAACATTAGCTTACTGTTTTGCTTTAGGAATCAATTTTGTAAAAGTTCAATTTACAAATAAATCTTTAAAATTATAACCGAGCTATAAAAGCTCGAAAGTTAGGTGATTGATTTATGTTTTTCACCCACAATAATATCTTCTATTAAAGAATTTATGAAATATGGTCTACAAAAATAAGAGAACTAACTATTGCATGATCTAACTTCTTATTTGTTTGCTTTATTTATTTATATTTTTTGCATCTATATTTATTATGATTTTTTTATAATATCAAAGAATATATATTATATATGTATATGATTTAATGGTGACAAAGCCACGTGTAGGCCCCACAAAAATGCGTGGAACGATGAGAGCCGCTTCGTTGAAAATTGCGGCCTACTTCAAATAGGATATATTGACTTTGAACATTTGAGTCGAATGGCTGGAGACCAAGACCTGAGCGTGTTCGATCATTCATAATAAATATATAAATAAATAATACTAAAAAAATAAAAGTTAGTTTGGGGATAAGCGTTTGATTCTGCGTCATAATGATATAATATTTTAAAATATTAAATATAAAATTTCATTATATTTCTATTTAAATTTATGATTAAAAAAGTGATATCATTCATCAAGTATTTAATGTTATGGTCAGATTTATTTGATATATAAATATATATATATATATATATATATATACAACTATTATTCGAGCTGATAAATTTTTTAATTATAAATATAGACATTTTTTATTAATTGAGTAATTGTGATGCTCTTAAAAAGTGAGCTTAAGAATAAATAAATTATGACTCAAATGTATTTTATACTAGCAAATATATTTTTATTAAAACATGATAAATTTATAAAGTATGATTATTATCATTTAAAATTCTGATTTTGGTTTGATATTGTTAGTAAAAAAATTAAATAAAAAGTATTTGGTTAAAGCTTTGTTTGGGATTATGATTTTTAGTTTATGTTTTTAAAAGCTCATTTTTCAATCACAATTTTAAATATGCTTTTTAAAAAAATAGCTTCTTAAAAACAAAAAAATTAAAAAAGTTATGTAAAAGCTGTCATTCAAACATATATTATTATTGTGTGTCTGAACAGTCACGACAGTAGGGAGATGAGAGTTAAACGTTCTAGTTTTGTATGAATATCCGACACATACACAGATAGGACAGAGAGATGCATGAATCATATGACACCATAATTTGTATATAGAAACCCCTGAAAAGGGAAAAAATCATAGGCCTTGCCCAACTGAAATAATTTCAGTAGTGGTTGTCGTTGATAAAAAATGATGCATTTCATCGGGGGAAGGCGTTGGTATAATGTAGCAAATATACATCATATAGAGCACATTATATGATTAGTGTTGTTTTAAAGAGAATGCATGTTCATTTGGTTGGTAGGATCATAATCCGGCGATGAAGGTCGGAGGGATCGTGGTCGGGCAATGGAGGTTAGAGGGATTGTAATGAGTGGGTAATGAATGTTAGAAGGATCGTAGTGGGCGATGGAGGTCAAAAGGACCATAGTCGACGACAGTGGTCTAAGGACAGGAGTCGGCAAGCGACATAAGTTAGGGAAATCATAGTCAGTCGATGGAGGTCTGAGGGACCCTAGTTAGGCGATTGTGGTCTGAGGACTATAGTTGGCGAGTGACTATTGTCAAAGGCATCGTAGTCAGGTGACGGTGGTATGATGATAATAGTCAACATGTGATTATTGTCGAAGGGACTGTAGTCACGTGACTGAGGTTGGAGGTGTAACAATTCAAACTCTTAACTATCTAGATAGTATTCGTTTTGGCCTAAGAGCCTCACGATTTTATCTTGTTGGTGTAACTGCCTATGAGGTTACTCTTCCCATGATTTCTCTTCAATGAGCGCACTTAACTATATAGTTTCTTAATATATAAAATTTCAATCATTACACAAAAAAGCATCTTGATGTTTAAGAGTTTGGCTTCTTTTACTTAAGGGGTTTCACAATCTCCCCCCACTTAAGAAATTGATATCATCGTTGGCATCTTTATCCAAAATTATCCACCATACATATATGATTTTAGAGGCGGCCTCTATATGTTCAAGTGGTAACTCCCGTCATATAACACTTTGTCTCATACAAAGTTCAAGAGGTGGCTCCCCTAGCATGGCATTTTGTCTTGTATGATACTTTGTTCCCATCTTCCTGCTGATGTATTGCTCTTATACCATTTATAATAGCTTAAACGCTTAACTATCGTGATATTATCTATATTGGCCTAAGGGCCTCATAATTTTTTTCTATTGGTGTAACTTCCCAGGATAAGATTAGAGAGAGTCGCCTTAGATGGTTTGGTCACATAAAACGGCAGCCTTCCAATAACCTAGTTAGGAGAGTAGAGGTATTAGATTTGACTTATGTTAAGAAAGGTAGAGGCAGACCTAAAAAGACTTGGTTAGAAAATATTAGGAATGACCTTTCTTTATTAGATTTAAACGAGAATTTGACCTTTAATACAACACAATGGAGAAAAAGGATTCATGTAGCCGATCCCACGTAGTGGGATAAAGGCTTGATGTTGTTGTTGTGGTGGTGTAACTTCCCAGGAGGTCACCCATCCCAGGATTTCTCTGAGATGATGGCGCTTAACTACAGAATTTCTAGAGTAACTTTGGAGAATATCTAGAGTAACTTTGGAGTGCTCCATCAGATCATTTGTATTGATTCCTTTAATCGAAGAGTATTCATTAAGCATTTGAATGTCTTAACAATGTCAAAATCAAGAGAGATCTTGAGCTCATTGGATTCGTCTTGTCGATCCGCTCGATTCGATTATAAGCATGCTATATTTGAATATCATTTGATTATCCAATTAATGCCTTGAAGCTTTAAAATATACTTTAGTCCTTGATTTGAGCCTATTTGGGCTCTTATTTGATCGATTTTAGTGTCGTTAGGTTCATCTCATTTGACTATAAGTTCGTTAAAATCGGCATTTGGATGGTCCCAAATTTAATTTTTGAAGTTTTATGTTCATATATGAATCAAGATTCATGTCGATCAAAATGATTTTTTCTGACATATAAATTATTTGTATTGGTTGCTTTTTCTAACACATTGGCAGTATAAAAAGGGAGATTTACATACATACCACTCTATACTATTCTATTTACATATTTAACACCTAAAATTTTAGTATTACATACATACCACCCATAGTTCATTTTTATATCAAATATGAGTGGTAGAAATTAAATATATAAGTGGTAGGAAGGAAATATGAGTGACATATTTGATATTAAAATAGTATAGGACGGTATGTATGTAATATTAATGTTTTTGGTGTTAGATATATAAATATGATGTTATAAAGTGGCATGTATGTAAATTTTCCAAAAAAGAATACTATCTCAAATAAAGTGTGAGCTATATGCTTGATTTCTGCATATTTATATTTAACACACAATTAACTGATATAGTCCAAGACAATTTAGCCCTCATTTCATAATGATTGTAAATAGTCTTAAAAAAATTTGATATTTATAAGAAAAGTGATCGATCAAGTAGTTTTACGTACTTTTGTTAGCTCTTTTTATTATTATTATTATTTCATATTATACGTTTATTTTTTTCATAAAGTTACAATATGATGGCAAACTATTTGATTTTTTTTTTTTTTTTTTGAGAAATTGATTTATCCAAGTGGCTGAGGGTTGTGTGTTGTTAATTCAATTCTTTAAAAGTAACATTAATTTTTTTTCCCCATCAAATAATTTTAAATTTTGAAATAAAAATTATTTTAAAAAGGGAGATTTACATACATACCACCCTATAATACTATATTTACATATTTAACACTTAAAACTTTAATATTACATACATACTACCCTTAGTTCATTTTCATATCAAATATGAGTGGTATAAATGAAATATATGAGTGGTAGGAAGGAAGTATGAGTGGCATATTTGATATTAAAATAATATAGAGTGATATGCATGTAATATTAAAGTTTTAGATGTTAGATATATAAATAGGATGATATAAAATGGTATGTATGTAAATTTCCCATTAAAAAATTACACACATTTTGTTTCCTATCCCCAACAACCACTCCTCCAAAGCAGTAAAAGACTCCATTAGTCAGAGTCAGAAATTCATATTATTATTTATTTGACCATTTACTTCTCTCCCACTTTAATTACTCCCAATAATTTTATTTTATTTACTTTAAAAACATTTTAAGAGAATTTTCAATAGAGATTAGAGAGTGTACTTTCTTATATGCCTGGTAGTATAAATACAAGCTAAAGAGAATGCTTTTGACAACAGAGCAAATGCTTCTAGCTGCTCTCTCATCCTCTTCTTCCTCTGAGTTCTCTGGCATTTCAATTCTTTCAAAAAGCCTCTGCTAAGTTCTCCACAGAAAATTTAAAAAAAAAACGATATAAGTTCGTATAGTTTTTTAAGTTTGAACAGAAATGGAAGAAATCTATATGTCAGGAAGCATGAGAAGATCGAAGTCTATATGGAGAGGAGCTGAGGATCAGATCTTCTCAAGGTCATTTGATGAGAGGAATGAGATAGATGATGAGGAGGCTTTGGTTTGGGCTGCACTAGAGAAGCTTCCTACTTATGACCGTGTGAGGAAGGGAGTTCTCTCCTTGGCTGACGGAGACCTTAGGGAGATTGATGTAAAGAGTCTGGGCTTACAGGAGAGAAGAACCTTGCTGGAGAGACTGGTTAAAGTTGCGGAGGAAGACCATGAGAGGTTTCTTCTTAAGCTCAAGAATCGCATTGATAGGTAAGCGATTTTTTTTACTAGTAAGCAGTTTGTTTACTCTGCAAATTCAATTTTAAATCCTTTTTAGTTCATGTTTTTTTTTTTCTTTTAAGTGGTGTAGAAGACGAAGACCTTTTTGTTTTTAGGTTTAGGTGAATTCTATTTCTCTGTTTTTGTTTTTGTTTTTGAAAATAAAACAATTCTTAAGTGTTTTTTTTTTAAATTGTTTTTTTTATTTTTTGCAGAGTTGGGATTGATTTCCCGACGGTAGAGATGCGTTTCGAGGACCTTACTATTGAAGCAGAAGCTTATGTGGGCAGCAGAAGCTTGCCTTCCTTTTTCAACGCAATCATGAACAACTTGGAGGTATAGGAAGGGGCAACTAATTAGCTTCTTTCAGACTGTTTTACTTACTTTTATGCAAAGTGGAGGCATTCATATCTTGCTGATCGATGCAGGCCATTGCCAATTATCTTCATATAACTCCAAGCAAGAAGAGACCGTTCACGATCCTTCATAATATCAATGGAATCATCAAGCCACGAAGGATGACTCTATTGCTTGGGCCTCCAGGTTCAGGGAAGACATCAATGCTATTGGCTTTGGCAGGGAAACTAAGCTCTGATCTTAAGGTAGTAAAGTTTAAATTTTACCATTTCAAATTTGGCCCACCAACTGACCTGATTTATAACTGATGCGAGCTGTAACATAATAATAAAGGTTTCAGGTAAAGTGACTTATAACGGTCATGGAATGGATGAATTTGTTCCCCAACGTACTGCAGCTTATATAAGTCAGCATGATCTACACATGGGAGAGATGACAGTAAGAGAGACCCTAATGTTCTCTGCAAGATGTCAAGGAGTTGGTTGTCGATATGGTAATTTCTTCATCAAACAGTTCTTAAAAGAAGAACAATTCTGAAACAAATAATTTATTGTTCATTTCTGTGGCCAAATTACAGATATGTTGACTGAACTTTCAAGAAGGGAAAAGGCAGCAAATATCAAACCTGATCCTGATATTGATGTCTTCATGAAGGTTAGATAATCAATTTTATATTTGGGGTATATGAATCAACAACTTATATATAAATTTTGAACTCCTACAGGCAAGATCAATGGAAGGAAAGGAAACTGGAGTAAACACTGATTACATAATGAAGGTAACAACTGTTATTTGATTATATTTAGCAGAAACAAATCAAACATACATAAAAAGTAATCATCTTCATCTTCCTTTGTTTTGTTTTGTTTTTTTATAACAGATTTTGGGATTGGATATTTGTGCTGATACAATGATAGGAGATGAAATGTTAAGAGGTATTTCTGGAGGTCAAAAAAGGCGTGTCACCACAGGTGAAACAACTAATTTTATCAGTTCTTGTTGTTGAAGTTATGAGTGAAAAATTAGCTAATCAAAAATTATTTTTATATAGGCGAGATGATTGTTGGGCCAGCACAGGCATTACTCATGGACGAAATATCAAATGGCTTGGACAGCTCTACAACTTTTCAGATAATAAAATCACTCAAGCAAATCACTCAGATTCTTGGTGGAACAACAATCATCTCTCTGCTTCAACCTGCACCAGAAACCTACGAGCTCTTTGATGATATCATCCTCTTATCAGATGGGTTAATTGTGTATCAAGGTCCTCGAAGGCATGTGCTTGAATTCTTCCATTTCATGGGCTTCAGTTGTCCTGAGAGGAAGGGTGTTGCTGATTTCCTACAAGAAGTAAGCTTCATGAATAATTTTTATATTGCAAATTAAAAAAAAAAGAAGAAGAAATTATAGAGTATAAAAGCTAATTGTATCGATTAATTATATTAGGTGACATCAAAGAAAGATCAACAACAGTATTGGGTGCATCATGATAAACCATACAGATTTATATCTGTTACCGAATTTGCAGAAGCATTTCAGTCATTCCATGTCGGAAAAGAGCTAACAAAAGAGCTATCTATTTCATTTGATAAAAGCAAGAGTCACCCTGCTGCTTTAACCACCTCAAAATATGGTGTTAGTACAATGGAACTATTGAAGGCTTGTGCTGAGAGAGAACTACTACTACTGAAAAGGAATTCTTTTGTTTATGCATTTCGATCAGCTAAGGTTTGTGAACGTATGAAAATTAGTATTAATAAATTATTCATGCTAAAAGCATTTAATCTTTCATCTTTCCAATTTTCTTACCTTTCAGGTGTTGGTCATGACATTAATGATGATGACTGTCTTTCTGAGGACTAAAATGCATCGCCGAACAATAACTGATGGAATTATTTTTTTGGGAGCGCTTTTCTTTGTAATTATTAATATAATGTTCAATGGATTCTCGGAACTTTCGATGACCATTGCTAAGCTGCCCGTCTTCTTCAAGCAAAGAGATTCTCTCTTTTATCCTGCGTGGACTTATGCAATACCAACATGGATTGTGAAGATTCCGTTTTCAGTCATAGAAGTTACTATCTTAGTAATGATCAGTTACTATGTAGTTGGCTACGATCCAAATATTGAAAGGTTAGATTTGCTTGAACCTCTATGTTTCAAACATTAGAAATGAAATAACTGTCTTCATTTTAACGTCCGTTCATGTTTATAGGTTCATCAAACAATATGTTGTGCTTCTTCTGGTCAATCAGATGGCTGCGGGGAAATTTCGTTTTGTTGGTGCAATTGGGAGAAACATGTTTATGGCAGCAGCACTATCATTCTACATGTTGTTTGTTTTTCTTGTTTTGGGTGGATTCATCATTGCACATGGTTATCTCTCTAGACTTGGCTTGTTTTTATTTGTATTGCAACATAAATTTAATAATTTCACCTTTTTTGGGCAGGTGATATTAAGAAATTTTGGATTTGGGGCTATTGGATGTCACCACTGATGTACTCCCAAACAGCAGTTTCAGTAAATGAATTCCTTGGAAACAGTTGGAGTCATGTAATATAGTATTCTCATTGATTTAGAAAATTAAAAATTTTTCATGTTGTATGTAGAGAGAGAGAGAGATCATATTCATTTGCTTGTGGTGATTTTTTTTCTCACAGAAACTACCTGGATCAAATGAGACACTTGGAGTAGCTGTCCTGAAGTCTCGAGGAATGTTTACAGAGGCAAAATGGTATTGGATTGGTGTAGTTGCTTTGCTTGGATATGTGTTCATATTCAACTTTCTTTTTGCAGTATCTCTAAGCTATCTCAAACGTGAGAGTTCTTATGCTTACAAAATCCTTTTTTTAGCATCTACGTATTAAGTTCATAAACTAAACTTCTTATTTGCAATTCTATAGCAATTAAAAAAGGCCAACCAGCACTATCTGAAGAGGCCGTGAATGAAAGGCAAATGAATATAATAAAAAAGCCCCATCATTCATCATTTGAACGAGAAAGCTCTACTCATCAATCTGGTTCAAGAAGTAAGTATATTTCCGCTTTCAATTTGTATGTTGGCTTATCTTGGAAAATACTAAAGATAATGGCTATCTTCATTTTTTTTTTTTTTTTATAATGGCTATCTTCATATGTGCAGACAATTCTACAAAGTTCTCAACACTTGATTCTAATCCAGCCGAGTTAAATACAAGGAAACAAATGGCTCTTCCATTTCTCCCACTTTCTCTCACATTTGACAACATAAAATATTCAGTAGATATGCCACAAGTAATCATATTTATTTTTGAATGATATCTTTATTATGCATGTAAGATTTGCGCAAGTCTGTCAAATTTCGTCAATAATTCTAATAGAGATTTTTTTTTTCAGGAAATGAAAGCAGATGGTGCTGAAGATAGACTGATGCTTTTAAAGGGTGTGAGTGGTTGCTTTAGACCCGGAGTTCTTACAGCTCTAATGGGTGTTAGCGGAGCAGGAAAGACTACTCTTATGGACGTACTTGCAGGAAGAAAAACTGGAGGATATATAGAGGGAAATATTACCATATCTGGATATCCCAAGAATCAGGAAACTTTTGCTCGTGTGTCAGGATATTGTGAACAAAATGACATCCACTCCCCTCATGTGACAGTTCATGAATCTCTTGTTTATTCTGCATGGCTTAGACTTCCTGTTGAAGTTGATTCTGCAGTTAGAGAAGTAGGTTGCGTATATATGAATTCATTATGACTTATATATTTGTTGACATCCTCATGATTCTAAATTTACACGATCATAAAAAAATTGATTTGCAGATGTTCATTGAAGAGGTTATGGAGCTTGTAGAGATGACTTCATTAAGGGGAGCACTGGTTGGTTTGCCTGGTGTAAATGGTTTGTCGACCGAGCAACGCAAGCGACTAACCATTGCTGTTGAGCTTATAGCTAACCCTTCCATCATTTTTATGGATGAGCCCACCTCCGGGCTTGATGCAAGGGCAGCTGCGATTGTAATGAGAGCAGTCAGAAACACGGTCGATACCGGAAGAACAGTGGTGTGCACAATTCACCAACCAAGCATTGACATTTTTGAAGCTTTTGATGAGGTGAGAAATTTTTAGATGAACACACATTTATATAACATATTTAGTTTATCATAGTCTAATGCATTTCAATAAAAAACATATTTAATTGCAGCTCTTCCTGATGAAGAGAGGAGGAGAAGAGATATATGTGGGACCATTGGGACATAATTCTTTCCACCTCATAAAGTATTTTGAGGTAGTTCAAGCCACATATCTTATAATAAAATCAAGATAGGAAAGTAGTATTGTTGATGGCAAACTTTATTAATGATGGTTCTTTATTTAGGGGATCCAAGGAGTAAGTAAGATTAGAGATGGCCATAATCCAGCAACATGGATGCTGGAAGTAACCACCCCAGCACAAGAAAATCTTTTGGGAATCAGCTTCACTGAAGTATACAAGAACTCTGAATTATATCAGTAAGTGAATAAGCTCATTGCTTTTAAATTTTACTCTTTAAGAATATGATACTTAACTCAAATATACCACAGGAGAAATAAAGCACTAATAACAGAAAATAGCATTCCACCTCCTGGTTCTCAAGATCTCTACTTTCCAACACAATATTCTCAACCTTTCTTGACCCAATGCTTAGCTTGCCTATGGAAACAACACTTATCATATTGGAGGAACACTTCATATACTGTACTGAGGTTTGTCTTCACTGTGATGATAGCACTGATGCTTGGGACAATTTTTTGGAATCTTGGTGGTAAAAAGTATGTCGTTATTTGTATTAGTATTGCTTCTATGCTCATTATTTTTTTTAATATTGATTGATAAGTAAACATATTGGATGCAGGACGAAACAACAAGACTTGTTCAATGCATTAGGTTCAATGTATAGTGCTGTTTTGTTCATTGGAATATCATATTCGAATGGGGTTGCGCAAGTCTGTCAAATTTCGTCAATAATTCTAATAGAGATTTTTTTTTTCAGGAAATGAAAGCAGATGGTGCTGAAGATAGACTGATGCTTTTAAAGGGTGTGAGTGGTTGCTTTAGACCAGGAGTTCTTACAGCTCTAATGGGTGTTAGCGGAGCAGGAAAGACTACTCTTATGGACGTACTTGCAGGAAGAAAAACTGGAGGATATATAGAGGGAAATATTACCATATCTGGATATCCCAAGAAACAGGAAACTTTTGCTCGTGTGTCAGGATATTGTGAACAAAATGACATCCACTCCCCTCATGTGACAGTTCATGAATCTCTTGTTTATTCTGCATGGCTTAGACTTCCTGTTGAAGTTGATTCTGCAGTTAGAGAAGTAGGTTGCGTATATATGAATTCATTATGACTTATATATTTGTTGACATCCTCATGATTCTAAATTTACACGATCATAAAAAAATTGATTTGCAGATGTTCATTGAAGAGGTTATGGAGCTTGTAGAGATGACTTCATTAAGGGGAGCACTGGTTGGTTTGCCTGGTGTAAATGGTTTGTCGACCGAGCAACGCAAGCGACTAACCATTGCTGTTGAGCTTATTGCTAACCCTTCCATTATTTTTATGGATGAGCCCACCTCCGGGCTTGATGCAAGGGCAGCTGCGATTGTAATGAGAGCAGTTAGAAATACGGTTGATACCGGAAGAACAGTGGTGTGCACAATTCACCAACCAAGCATTGACATTTTTGAAGCTTTTGATGAGGTGAGAAATTTTTAGATGAACACACATTTATATAACATATTTAGTTTGTCATAGTTTAATGCATTTCAATAAAAAACATATTTGATTGCAGCTCTTCCTGATGAAGAGAGGAGGAGAAGAGATATATGTGGGACCATTAGGACATAACTCTTTCCATCTCATAAAGTATTTTGAGGTAGTTCAAGACACATATCTTATATTAAAATCAAGATAGGAAAGAGTAGTATTGTTGATGGTAAATTTTATTAATGATGGCTCTTTATTTAGGGGATCCAAAGAGTAAGTAAGATTAAAGATGGCCATAATCCAGCAACATGGATGCTGGAAGTAACCACCCCAGCACAAGAAAATCTATTGGGAATCAGCTTCACTGAAGTATACAAGAACTCTGAATTATATCAGTAAGTGAATAACCTCATTGCTTTTAAATTTTACTCTTTAAGAATATGATACTTAACTCAAATATACCACAGGAGAAATAAAGCAATAATAACAGAAAATAGCATTCCACCTCCTGGTTCTCAAGATCTCTACTTTCCAACACAATATTCTCAACCTTTCTTGACCCAATGCTTAGCTTGCCTATGGAAACAACACTTATCATATTGGAGGAACACTTCATATACTGTACTGAGGTTTGTCTTCACTGTGATGATAGCACTGATGCTTGGGACAATTTTTTGGAATCTTGGTGGTAAAAAGTATGTCGTTATTTGTATTAGTATTGCTTCTATGCTCATTATTTTTTTTAATATTGATTGATAAGTAAACATATTGGATGCAGGACGAAACAACAAGACTTGTTCAATGCATTAGGTTCAATGTATAGTGCTGTTTTGTTCATTGGAATATCATATTCGAATGGGGTGCAGCCAGTTGTTGCTATTGAGCGTACAGTTTTTTACAGAGAAAGAGCAGCAGGAATGTACTCAGCTATCCCTTATGCTTTTGGACAGGTAATGAGTAGTACATTATCAATCATATATGGGATTTTTACAAACATAATACTTAAAACTATTAAAAATACATATTTAACACCTAAACTTCTATATTTGCTAATATACCACCAAAAACCCCTCTTTTAATCAATTCTAATATTCCGTTTAAACCTTCAGTCAAAAATCAATATCAACGACTGTCTTCCCAGTCAATGGCATCCTTCACATTGAATACAAGTATCTCATAGCTTCAATGGAGTAGTAGAATAGAAGGAAAGGGGGATTTTAGGTGGTATATTAGTAAATATAGAAGTTTAGGTGTTAAATATGTATTTTTTCAATAGTTTTAGGTGTTATGTTGTAAAAATCTCATATCTATATAGTCTTTTCTTGTGCTCATAAAGTTTATTTTGCAATTTTCAGATTGTAATTGAGCAACCATACATCTTGATCCAGTCTATAATATATAGCATTTTAGTATATGCAATGATTGGATTTGAATGGACAGCAGCTAAGTTCTTTTGGTACTTGTTCTTCACATACTTTACACTGCTCTACTTCACATACTATGGAATGTTGGCAGTCAGCTTAACTCCAAGCTTAAACATAGCTTCAATAATAGTTGCTGGATTTTATAGTGTTTGGAACCTTTTTGGAGGATTCATTGTTCCAAGACCAGTGAGTTTGAACTTCTTTGATCTCCCTTAATAATATTTTAATCTTGCAATACATAAATATATATAGTTTAATGCCTCTTTATTCTTATGTAGGCAATACCAATTTGGTGGAGGTGGTACTATTGGGCTTGTCCTGTCTCATGGACTTTATATGGATTGCTTGTTTCTCAATATGGCGATGTCGAAGAAAATCTTGACACAAACCAAACAGTAGCTGAGTTTCTAAGGAGTTACTTTGGATTCAAGCATGATTTTTTGGGAGTGGTTGCATTTATGGTCGTCTTTTTCGCATTTTTCTTCGCTTTTCTATTCGGATTTGCAATCAAGACGCTTAACTTCCAAAGAAGATAGTAGAGTTGGTGAAGAAACAAGAAGTGAATGATGAACAATAATATTTGTATTATTCATACATAGATATCCTTGTATAATCAATTTGCGCAAATAATATACCTAATATTTCATGTTAGGGTTTTGTAGTATTCTGTTCTTTTAGTTAATGGATCACTTCTCTTTTTCCTTATAATCTTAAAGCCACCATTTTTTATTTTTATTTTTGAATGCTAACCGCTTTATCAAAAAGGCGGTAATCCCACAGAGGCAGTCATCTATCTTTTTATATAATAATGAGAAAGACAGTTTGATTTAGTGCAAACCAGAACGTCTTGAAAGGTGAAAGTCAAAAAATACATATAACTTGTGATAGTTAGTAATGTTCATAAGCTTGGTTGGTGAAAATTTATAATACAATTTGGAGCTCCATAGGTCACATTCTCTCTTACCATATTAAGATCAATTATGTTAATATACAATTTAGATAGAAGGCCATGTTCTAGTGATTTATATTGATTATTTCTAATTACCATTAATTAAACATGCATCGAATACATGTTGTTAGTATTTAAAAATAATAATATCATATTAATACCAAAAAAATTATTGAATATTTGTATAACAATTAATACAAAAATTATTAAACCATTTGGAGAGATTTATCATTTATCCCTCAGTGCTAAGCCAAAGGAGTCTTACCATTACATCAAACATTTAAATATAACAAATATTAATTGAGAATTATATATTTGTAGCTATACAAAAGTTTAAAAACTAAGTAAAAATTCATGAAAAAATCAAAGTAAATAAAATAATTGTAAATATTTTTTAGGAAAGCAAAAGACTTAAAAGAAAAGTAAACTATCATTAAGTGATATAAGGCTCTTGCAAGCACTTCTTTTCTTTGTTTGAAATATTAGGCTTTATTTTAGTTTGAATGATCAGAATTTTTCTCTGAAATTAATAACAAGACTTTACTCCTCGTTAAATCCCAATATGTGTAATAATGAAGAATTTGGGCTTATATTTTTAAATGTATGATGGATATTTAATTTTGATTAAGGAGCTGTTTCGATTGACTTATTTACTATTTTGTTTTATAAAAAGTAAATTTTGGGGTTACAGAAATGTTTGCATTCCATGGCTGCTTATAATAACTGATGAACATCTCCCATGTTTCGCAACTTAAATCACAAATTCTTTTTTTAATAAAAATAAATTTCACTCTATCATAGGAGGAAAGAAAACATTAGCAGAAGAACTAAGCAAGCCACCTCTTTGTTCTCAAGATTTATGTTTTCCAACACAAGATTATCAACATTTCTTGACACAATGCTTAGCTTGCTTATGGAAAAAATGCTTATCATAATGGATAAACTCTTCATATATTATTGTATTGAAGCGTGTCTTCATTATGGTAATAGCATTGATGGTTGGGACAATATTTGCGGATCTTGATGGCAAAAGTTATATAAATATTGATCCATGATTAGTTTTATTTGGCTATAAATTTGTCATTATATATTAATTGATGAGAACATTTTTGTGTTATCTCCTCTAAATATCCATAGCGGTTGATTGAAACCAAACAATATCTTAATTTATTAATAGTAAAGTTACCATATCGATTGATCATAACCCTCATAATGTTGGTCACCATGGTTCTCATGGCTCAATACATCATGTGTCCCACTGCACTATGTCATCCCTTGATAGCTCTTACAATTTCAAAAACATTTTCCATCAATAAATAACATAAAGAGAGTATTTATTTTTACTATGTGATCCCTTGATATTGCTACTGTACCCCAAAATTACTTCCGGCATGTATTTGTAAGATGCTGAGGATTTCATTCTAATGTGTCATTCTGACATCACTATTACATTCCAAAATGACCTCCTGCATGCGTTGGCAGGATGCAGAGAGTTTCATTCAAGTTTGTCATTTGACATTACAATCATAATTTAAAATGATCTCTTGCATGCATTGGCATGATGCAGGGGGTTTCATTCAAGCATGTCATTTGACATTGCAATTATATTCCAAGGTATCCTCCCATATGAATTTATGATATGTAGAGGGCTTTGATCATTTCAGCAATATCATGCATACATATAGCAATCATATAAATGCATCATACAAGATGCATTCAACGGTATATAACAAAATGGGCCCCAACGAGCGTATTATAAGTACACACGTGATATTTGAGGATGTCGCGTGGGTTAAGAAATGAATTTAGATTTAAACAAGATCTTTTGTCGGCAAGTATACATAGTTGAGAAGGTTCAATCAATAAAAAATGAAAAAACCTATGAAAACCCCTATGATGGTAGTGTTTAATGTAAATCGCAACCATATGGGTTAAATCTCAAAAATCTATCAAAGGCACAAAGCCGACAATGAGCCCGATCTTCTGTTTTCAAATAGATAGAGTCGATAATGTTCAAACAAATAAAATGAAAATTGCTTATGTATCATGAGGATGGTTATGTTGAATAAAAATTTTAATTGGAGGGGGGGCCCTAAATATTTATGAATGCCTCTCAAACTCTCAAATGCCTATAAAAATTCAAACAAAATTTCAAAAATATCAAAATATAAAATATTTAAAACGAAATAAACCATCAAATACTTAAAGCAAAAATATTCATCCATCTTTCGCAATAGTTTGTCGAGATAGACAAATCTGAAAAACTACTCCAGCTCACAAAGAGCTAATGTCTAGTCGAGAATATCATTAAAATTCATTCTAAATCTCTCTCTTAAAAGTAAGGACGTGACATGTATTCTATAACTGGTGGTTTCGCCGCCAAATGGCACCACACCGTGGATTCCGCCCCCAAATGGCGCCACACCGTGGATTCCGCCCCCAAATGGCGCCATAGGTAAATGGTTATGATCGGGACCCTTTGAATCGACAATTTCTACGCAAAATGGTACCATTATATTACGATCATGGTTAACACTCGTATGTTCTCCAATGACATTAAATCCTTAAAATATGAATTAATATGATATGTTCGATAGGGCACAAAGCCCTCTAGTAGCTAAAATGGATTCAAATTTGTTCCCTTAGACAAATATCCATCTTAAGTCTATTAGGTACCTTGGACGAAGCAACTCATGATTGTTGACAATGATCCTTTTATTAAATTGGGTCGACTACCTCCTCTGATTAAGTAGACCAAGGACTAAGATGGCTAGGGACGACGGATCCATGGGATCTTGATCGGACTCATTATCATTCCCCCACCATCTACTTTAAGTACGAGGTTGTGAAATTTTTAATTTTAAATATTACATTTTTAAATACCAAACTCATGCTACTACTATATACCAGATACTGCATATCTCTATTTATCTATTTGATGAATAACCTTAATCGAAAGATCTCTCTTGTTATTGGGAGGGATATTTAATTATAGGGGCTTGCGCCTATAAGAAACCAGAACTCAAATAATAAGGTCCTCGCAAAATGAGAGTGAAATCTCTGGGCAGTGTCTTATTTCAAACCCAATCCACCTTATGAAAATTTACCTCAAAACTTAATATATTAAAACTCCCTTGAAAGTAGGGGAGGCTTGGGCCAATTTTTTGAAGCCCACAGTAATATCATGCATCTCATTCTTTCATTTAAATTCTTGTTCATGTGCTCAACAATTCCACCAATTGTGATGTTATTTGTCTTTTGTCAGCTGTGCACAAATTATCTAAATACATTAGTATAGTATTCTCCCATCCTATTTGATATGAAACACTTAGGCTTCATTTTGGACGTCTTTCTTATTGCTTCTTAAAACAGCTTTTTAATACAAAAGTTTTAATATTTGTACTAAAAAGTTGTAAAAAAAAGTCGTCCCAAACGAAGTCTTAATCTTTGCACCAAACATTCTTCACCTAATTTTTTAATTTCTTGAAACAAACAAATATGCAAAATTTATATTTTTAAAAATTAATTTAAATCTTCCCGATAAAGTCATCTACAAATGTGATATGGTATAACAAGCCGATGGATACCACACTATGGATGATGTATGAGTCAACATTTGAGTTTACAATTAGTTTCATACTTAATGAATATCCTACTTCATCCAACAATCAAATTGATATATCAAATTTCTCTTAAATACAACAATGTATCTCACATTAGAAAGCTTCCATATAGTTCAACTTGTCATTTTTATACACTAATCTCCTACTCCTATTATACACGTGCCCACATTGCGGGCCAGTGTGGGCACGTGTCCCCAGTGCTCCCACGGTGACTCCGTCGGTGCTCCTATAATGCTAAAAATTATCTCATTAGTGAGATAAGCTCCCATAATTTCTTATAGAGTAATCACATGTAAACACTTTAATGTAAAGTAGAGTAATGAAAAACCTGAATGCAAAATTCATGACTGCAAAAGACTATCAACACTAAGCATTAGCATATTATAGATCTCTTTAGTTGTAGCATTCAGAAATTAATTTGTATGATCTAAAGCCCATACACCCTTTCTTTGACACATCATAAAGAAGCACTGCTAACTCTTTTTATTATCCTTCATCTCCTCTCAAAATTTAGAGCAATGAAACATACTTTATTTATTTTTTATCTCAAAATATCCTGATAGAAAGTAGGTGCACTTTCAACAAAATCAGCGAACCGCAATGAAAAATTAGGAAGAAGAACATCACAGAACTTTTTATTGCGTGAAATCTGAAAGAAAATAACAAGATACAATTCGATCTTCAATTGGAGAGAAAGATCCAACTTTGCCAAATCTCTAGCCGGCGGCTAGAGCCCCACTACTAAGAAACCCTAAATTCGGCCCAAACATCACATAACCCTCACCTTGAGAAAAAACCTACTTAAAGCATACAAAACATTGTCAATACCAAAAATAGCCCTCCCCCCTAACCTTTTCCGTCCTAAACAGCCCCTCCTATTTGAAAATACCCCTGGGCCCCACCCCAAGGGGTTGGATTTCCTCTAGTAGGCGGATGGGTTCCACCCTCCATGTTCCGCCCACTCGATAATTGGCCGATCTAAAAGGGACTAACCCAATTGTGATAATGATATCCTTAAATTAAAATAATGAACATCATTAAGTTTCAATTTTTTAGACTTGAATGAACTACTGACTTCCATCATAATTTTAAATCATCATTTAATGGTGATGATAACAAAATCAATATATGAACTTACTTCATCATCAAAACTAATATGAATTGAATTCAACTGACAATGATCAAATCAAACTCCTAGGAACACTTTGTTGCAAACCACCTTTCAATATTCTTGGATTAAAAAGGAATTTTTTTCTTTGGCATACAATTCCCAACAATCCAACATCTAACTATCTAGAAAATGTTGGACGAAACTTTTCTTATCAATATCAATCATGCAATTACTTAGAGATAGTCTTCTTGACTCATGATTAAAAGCTTCATCTTCATCATCAATAGAGAGAGAGATAAATTTAGCACAAATAATCCTCTATATGTAGAATTTTTATTACATCCAGTGAACGTACGCTCCTCTACGTTCGGTTTAGGCAAAAAAACGCCTGTATCGAATTTTTTGAAAAAACTCGGTACAACTCGGTACTCGGTACAGACGCTTTTTTTGTCTAAACCGAACGTAGAAGTTCCTATATGTATCTCCAATATTAAAAAATCCTTGCAATCGGAGTTATTGATTAAACTAACTATTAAATTGTTCTGCTTATTCTATTTGATATAAAACTGCTCGTTAAACTTTATTGTAATCAGATAACAAACTTATGAAAAGCAGCAAAAAAATGAAAATAATTCCAAAATCTCACTTTATTGTAATCAGATAACATCTGTCAAACTCAGCTAATTTAAAACAATAATAAAAGCGCAGAAATTTATTCGAAAATAGATGATGCTGATTTTTTGGATGATAAAGATGGAAGTGGTTAAATTGAATTTTTGATTAGAATGAGGTTTCGTTTGGGAAAACTTTTTTATTACTTTTTAAAATAGCTTTTTAATAAAAAATTTCTAATTCTAAAAATTTTTGTACTAGAAAATCGTTTTAAAAAGCAGCAAAAAATTATTCCAAATGAAGCCTGAATCTTAATTTGTCATTTGGTTCCTTTATAGCTCTTTAATTTGTGCTGTTTCTGTTTCATCGCATCATTCTAGTTCAAATCTTCTTCTTTTTTTTCCAGAATATTTTGGTACTCAACATAATTGCACTTCCAGTGTTAGGTTTAGCTTTTCACATATGAAAAGGGGTAAGATTGAAATTCAACTGCTGTCAAACAAAGTACATATGCAAAGATAACAGATAAATACTGAAGAATCAGACAGATTTTGTGCCTTCAGTTTACAGTTATAGAACAAAGTTCGGAGTCTGAAACAAAAGAAGGTACGAACTCGTTGGAAAGCGTGGCGACGTAGTAAGTTGAAACCTGTTCAAGACGCGGCGGCTGCCTCCTGCAGCTCCTTCACTTTTGTGATGTAGTCACCCATGGCTTCCTCAGTAGATTTACCTGTTCACTCAAACTTGTAATAAGGAAATCCTTACAGCTTATTATTTTAAATATGTTGGTTCCACTTTATAGCTCTATATGAGAACAAGATGATTAATTTCCAGATGAAGCCTAGAGCATATTGAAAAATTATAAGAGATTTATATTAGAGAGTTCTTGGAAAATAAAACCTTCAACGGCCTTCCAGGCATCCCACTTGGCTCTATCTCTCTGGTTGAAAATACCTGGGCGGCCTGCAACAATTAAAAAACAGGATTATGCCAATATCTGCTCAATTAGGACATGAAGAAGGTGGTGGTAGTACATCAAAATTAAGGCAGCCTTGCCTATAAAGATGCTATAATAGGCATTTTGAACTTTTTATGATGAATATCATTAGTATCAACTGGTATTAAGTACTGAGATTGAATGCCCTCATGAAAAGCTTCACTCCACTAGTTTTCATGATAAGAAATAACAAAGTTGACACTAGGATCAAATTGGTTCAAATTTGATGAATTTGAAGTAAATTAAACATCTAGAAAAGTCTAGGACTAAAATGGACAAACCAAAAAGTTGAGGACTATTATGATCATTTACTCATCTTCAAGATATTTGGGATTGATTGTGTGGCATTTGATGGTGTTCCATGTAGTTTTTGATCAGTTAAACAGGTGGATAGTTCAGATTCATTACAATAAATATTTAATTCATTGATCTAGCAAAAACTTTTAGCATATGATTTTTGACAATGATGCTACAAATCATTTTATTTGGTGAGAATAGATAACCAACAAATCTTCAATAGAAAGAGAATGACATCTCATAGCAAATAACTGACAAAACTCCTGAGCTGGTAACAATTTGAAAGAGAGATATTGATCAATGGAGTTTCCTTGAGATATGAGAAGGAATAATTTTCACAATAGGAACCAAAAGTATGATACTGAGAAAACTGAGTTGAAATAAAACTAGTAATGCTTGATTATGGTGAAGGTGAAATGCATACTAGTATTCACAGGTCCAACAGTTGCTTGCTTGAACAGCCCATACAGAATCAACTTATTCTCATTGGTAGTAGTTTCAGGTAATCCCTTGGCTTTCTCAGCATATTCTTCAAATTCCTCCTGCAATTAAAATCGAACCACAGAAATAAACCAACTACTCAGAAAAAGCAGAAGAATAACAAAAGTGCTAAGGACTTTACAAAAATCGTAGATTTGAACGTCTTACACCGTGAAAATTTTCAAGCTAAATTAAACCAAGTTGTTTATATCAGGGATAAAATTCAAAATAGTCCATTGACTATTCGTATATGGCCTCTTTAATCCTAGAGCATCATATTTCTACAATCTAGTCTCTCGACTAAACAAAATTGATTCAAATTGGTCCCTTTGGAACTAAATTGAGATGAATTTTATATGGTCAAAGTACTAAATTGTGATCAATTTAATATCACAATTATAATATGTGGGCACCATGTTAGAACAAATTAATATAGTTGATAGACTAATGCTTCGTTTGGGACGGCTTTTTTACTACTTTTTAAAGAAGCTTTCATGTACAAAAATTTTAACTTTTGTACTAGAAAGCGGTTTTAAGAAGCAGTATGAAAGCCGTCCCAAACGAAGTCTTAGGCTTCATTTGGGACAGCTTTGGCCATTACTTTTTTGCTACTGTTATTGAATTTTTATGTTAGAAAGATGCTCTTGAAAGCAATAAGAAAGTTGTCCCAAACGAAGCCTAAATTGGATAAATGTGATATTCTGGTCTAAATTGGCCACACACGGATAGTTTGGGGACTATTTTGAGATTTTTGTGCATCCTTAAATGTCAACTAGAACCATATAAAAAATTAGTTTGTAAAGTGAACATATTGCATAAATTATTTCCTTTATTCGATTAAAGGAAACCGGATAATATATTAGAAATTGTTATGTGTGGAAACTAATTGTGTTAATCAATCGGATTGTTCTGTTGCCTCGGACCTCAAGTTTCTCATGCTCACTGGGGGTGCAGGGGGTTTACCCACTGCTTGGGTTCTGGTGCTTTGTACCCCTTGCTTGGTTCGAGCACTACGTACCTAAGTGCCCCGACGGTACATACCCGAGCAACTCGTCGTTGTTTTCCCGAGCACCTCGGCGCTAAACAACAGAGAGAAAAGCGCCACAGCAGCATAGATACTGTGCTGCAATAGATCAAGACAGAGGTTCAAGTGTTGCAATGTTGCAAGACGGACTGGATGGTTTTCTTTCTCGTTTTTCTAAAGGGTTGTGCCCCTTAGGGTTATTATACTTGGCTTTCTCTTATATTTTGTTTATGTAGATATTGAGAATGGTGCATGTGAGAAGAGAAGCAAGGAGAGAGAGAGAGAGAGAGAGAGAGAGAGAGAGAGCGAGAGAGAGAAAGAGAGAGAGAAAGAGAGAGAGAGAGAGAACTTTACTTATTTCTCCCTATTTTCATAGTGGACTAATTGTTATGGCGTGGCTCCGTGAGTTTTTCCTTAGTTTGAGTTTTTTCACGTTAAATCCTAGTGCCTTTTACTTTTCTGTTTATTTTACTTTCTTGTTTGTTTAGTCATTGTTGTGTTTACTCCTCATCTTCCCCACAGAAATTCATACCCAAACATTTCAGATCAAATTGTGAAAATTTGATATGTAATGTTTGTATCATTCAATACTATCTTCTATAAAAACATAAGCCTCGCACTAAGCCCTTCAAAATCCAATCCTCACAGAAATCAGAAAGGCCTTTAATGCAAAATCATTTAGGATCTAGTCAGAACAATATGTTTCCAGTCCCTTAGTGAATAGAAATTTCATTTAGGACTCTCAAACAATTACTAGAAAACAAGCATCAAATATAAGCTTGCTCTTCATGTATTCGATCAATCTATAATAAAAAATGATGCGCATAAAATAATGAAAATGATGATGCCAGAAAATGACACTTTTGTAGGTCCGCACAGCCAGTTAGTCGGCACAAACTGAATTGGGGGCATGCACCTAAAATCGAAAAACAAGTTGCAAAGCAGAAATTTAATTGTAGTGGTCAATAAATTAAAAAAACAACAAGAAATTAATTGTAAAACACAAGAGTTAGTGGCAGCTTTGACTCAAGTAGGATTTCATAAATCATGTAAATCCGGATTTTGTAAATCTTGACAGTGTTAGATCCTAAAAATTGTTTGTTGTGATAGATGTTAGATATGGCAAAAACTTGATAAATTATTTATTTTCAGGATTTAGGATTTAAAAGTATTAATTTGTTATAAAAATATTTATTTAAATAATTAATTAAATTAAATACTAATAATATATTTATTCCGGAAACAATTAAAAATAACAAAAATAAAATAATTGCTTCAACAATAAGAACAATTAGAGACGAATAAGAATAAAATTAAGAATATTATATGTTTATTAAATAATGTAGCTCGTTTCTTGAAATTGTAAAAAACAATGGCAGAGGCTACTGCAATTTTTTTAGAAATGACTACTTTGGTAGCTAGAATAATCAGAATTAATCAAGGATATAATTAAGAACATTAAATACTTATTGGTGCTTATAATGGTAATTAAACCTAAAATAATTAACTAATAATTTATGAGTCCTAATACACTACAGGAAAACAAGCGTTTATCGGCGGATTTTACCGGCATACAAAGCTGCGACGGAAAATACGGCGCCTGCAGCGGCGCATAATGCGAAGGAATATTTTCGGCGTTTTTTCCGGCGCACATGTCGCCGACCCCACGTAGTGGGATAAAGGCTTGATGTTGTTGTTGTTGTTGTACATGTCGCCGGTAAAATACCGACGGATATTGCGCCGTAGAAAACGTCGGTAAATAGCAGCAATTTATTTTAGCGGCGCACTTTACGGCGGAAACATTACCGGCGCAGGTACCAGCGGATAAAACGCAGGCGTATTTAAACTCAACAACTTAAAACCGACGTATATTGCGCCGGAAATTTTTCCGGCGCCCTAGACGCCGGAAAATCCACCGGCGTAAACCCTTATTTCTGAACATGAGCTCGACGGCTGCTCATTTCTATCGTTCGTTTCTCTCAGAACTTTTTCTCTCCCTCGTCGCCCTCCGTCCGCTCGCCGCCGTAGATTGACGTCGCCGACTTGTGTTGCTGATCACCGGACGTCGCCGACAATCACCGCATTCGTCGCCGGGGAAAGCACTTTTTCACCGTGAGTTTACGCCTCCCTCCCGTCGCCTCCCTCCTTTTTTTTTTTTTTTCGTTCATGTAATTTGATATAGGATGCATATTGTAAGGAGGATCTACATATAAGTTTTTTTTTTTTGTTCATGTAAGGTATATGCATGAGCTATTACTTGTGTTCAAACAAAAGGTCGTTTGACCAAGTATTTTCCTATTTTGTGCGGATTACATCAAGGATTTGCCTCAAGTCCAAATCTTTTTTGTTTAGTCATAGACATTCTCAATAGGCATTCGCAAGAGGATGTGCCTTTATGTATTCTTTTTGCTGATGATATTCTTCTTGTTGATAAGATTAGAGAGGGAGTTTAAGATGAACTTGAATTATGGAGGTCAACTTTAGAGTCTAAAGGTTTTCGCTTGAGTAGATCTAAAACTAAATATATGGAGTATAATTTTAGTAGCAATAGACCTAAAGATGAGATTGTGACTTTTGGCGATCAAGTCAATAATAAGAGTAGACATTTTAGATATCTTGGATCTATTGTTCAGAGTGATGGTGAAATTGAAGGGGATATTATCAGCAGAATTCATGTTTGATGGTTAAATTGGAGGAATGAATCGGGCTTATTGTGTGATAGAAAAGTTTCCCTCAAACATAAGTGAAAATTCTATAAGATGGTTTTATATCTGTTATGTGTATAGCTGTTATATGGAAGTGTTTTCGTATAGGTTTGCAGGTGTGGAAATTTGATTGTTGGCTGGGAATGTAATTTTTTTTTGTCGATGCTACAGGTTTCCGGCGGATTATGCGTCGGAAATTCAACGGAAACAACGATACAACGAAGTGGATCGATCATGCCGGCGTCTTTGTGTGCGCCGGAAATCACCATCGCCTATTCCGACGTTTTATTCGCCGGATATTTCCAACGCAGAGGTTGCGCCGGAACTAAGCCGTTGCTTATTTACGGCGCCCTTACGACGAATTATGCACCAGTAGTTTCTGTCGGATCCATACAACGAAAACTACCGACGCATATGTCGTCGGAATTATGGAATGAAAATCGACGTCATTCATGTCGTATTTTGTGCCGGCAATGCGCCGGAACGTGCGCCGGAATGGTTATCGGCGGATTATACCCGTCGGTAAATATTTAGCGACGCTCGCTAAACCGACAGATGAAAATCCGACGTAAATGCGTCGGAAACTGAAGATTTCCGTCGGATTTAAAAGGTTACTAGCGGATACGGTTCGTCGGTAATGGCGTGTTTTCCTGTAGTGATAATTTAAAACTAACTATTTAAAAAGGTTAAGTAATTATCAGTTAAGATTTCAATCAAGATCAATAAAATTTTATTAGTGTTTAACTATATTAATTAATCTTGATTATTTGATTAAATTAATTATTTTATAAAGTAAATAAATAAAACCCTCCTACCCTTCACCATCTAACCAAATTCCTTAAGCCCTTCATGACAAATCAATTGTGAGGAAATCATGAAGCAAGCTTGTCATAGGAAGGCATCAACAAGACCAACAGTGTGTAATGGAAAAGAGGAATTAATGACGAATCTCTCTATGGAAAGGCATTAAGCCATTAACAAGAGCAATAGTGATGAAAACTAGATGGGGCAAGTATCGACAAGATCAATGACATGTGAAGGAAAAGACGAGTTTATAGCAAGAGCTCGTTTGGGCAAGAAATTTGTGGGTTTAAATTAAATCCATCAAATACTCGGATTTAGTAAATCAAGACTTTAGGATAAAATGGGGGAGAAATAGAATTTAACAGTTTATAATATTTAAGTCATCTATTTTTAATTTGACAAGAATCAATTTAAATCTTGCTTAAATAATGCTTGAAACTGACTACCAAACTATCGCTTAAGATTTCAAATATGAGAATTGTGAAAACTGAGAAAAAGCTTGCTTATCAGAGCTTTTGACAGAAGCCTTTTTACGGCTTCTTGCTGAGAGGAAAAAACTAGGGAAAAAGTTAAAGCAGAACAGAGAAATTGCTTTTTCTAATGGCTTACCTATTACATGCCTAAAGGCTTTATTTAAAGAATAATGTGGCTACATAGAAAGCCACATACTCAAACTAAAGAAACAAAGAAACTAAAGAAACAAAGAAACAATCCTAAAAATCTGGAATTACACCTAACAAGAATAGCCTTAAACTTTTATATTAAGTAAAAGAATACGAAATTTATGCAAGAATACAAGAGTTAAAACTGATTAAAAATCTAAAAAGCGTAAATAGTACTTGAAAACTAATATTATGTCACAATTCACACTATTATAACACTTACATGAAAGCATTTTGGCATTATTTTCTAGTCACCTAGCTTTTTCTTTTGAAAAATCTAGCATTTGTAGTAGTTTTCTAAATTTGGTGAACCAAAACTTATGGCCTAATGTTGCTTCTAGCTTTCTACATCAATTGTTTAGGCATTTGAATTGCCTAGAGCAACCAATAAGCAAAAAGGATGTAATACCACATATTAATCATTAAAATAGAAAATATATATAATTTCATATTTATCATTGAAAGTCAATCTAATCAAAGAAAGTTTACATGCATATTTTCTTGGGTCAAGAGAATCATGTCGCAATATGGACTTACATTGTGCCCAAGAGCCCACTGAATGATAACCCCAACTTGTCTAGTTTGCACTCTTCCTTGCCTGACTTGTCAATCAATTCAATCGCTTTTTGAGAATCAAATACCAAAAGATGAAGATTAAACATCATTTTCCACAAGGGGTTTAGAAACACTAGCCATAATGCTCAATCTAAATGATGGCCCTGTCATTACCACTAGGTTACACCAACTCATGTACTAGATAAGGAGGCTTCCCATCACCTAGCTAATTTTACCTCTTTTGTTCTAGAAACTTCATCAAACTTAAAATCCAAAGAAACTATTTCCTTGATAGATTGAAAAATATTGATGATCTACATTGAAATCAACACCTTTAAGGAGTGCCAAAATTAGAAGGTTTTTGCTTGCATTTTTCTAGACATCACGAGAATTTGAAACTCTCTTCTCAACTAAAAGCATAGTAGAAACTAAGTAAAAAGAGCAATCTTTCATGCCTCAAGAAAATCCACGAATTTTCCAACATAAAGGCACAAAAGAAACTAAGATAGTAAAAGGATCAATCTTAATGCCCTGGGAAAATCAATTATCTTTCTAACATTAAGGCATTCTATAAACTCTTCATTCCCTGCCATATGGCTAAATTAGCAAAGCTGACATATGTGGGTTTATTTTTATTACTTTATGTGGGTATAGATGCATATCAAATATCTGTATTTGTGTCCACATCCCGATGCCTGTATCAGTGTATCATAGCCTATAATTGAAGAACTTAATAAAGATACGAGTTATTGAATTGCATCATATTTTGAAATCAATGATTCTAATTAGATCTCGATATCTCATACATCATGAATCTTGAAATACTTACCATGATGAGGATAGTCAATATTTTTATTCTCTTGATCTTCTCATCCCCTCGAAAGAGTCAAGATAATTAGATCATTAATGAACATCCATATTTGTGTGGGTCAATTGAATAAAACCATTGAATCAAGAGTCACCCTTCCAAAATTCATCAAAAACCAATAAATAAAAAATCACCAAAAAACTTTTGGCCCAAGAATGACTCGACTAATGGTGTTGAATCAGTGACTCAATTGAAAGATATGCAAAAGGCTCGCCTAACTAGTTAGACTCGGCACATAACCGACTAGAAATACTTTCTTGGAGCACTCAATAACAGAACACGTCTATAATTTTTGTGATTGAAGATACTACTGTACAACCTATATACAACCAGCTACATGTTCATGTCCAATTAGGAGTGAAAACGACTTGAGTCGAGTATTTATCTAATCAAGCTAAGCTTGTTTAGTTCTTACTGAGCTCGAGCTCGACTCAAGCTCATTTACTAAGCTCGAACTCAGTTCATTAAAAAATTTATAGGCTCAAGCTCGTTTGGAAAACTATTTTTTTAGTTTTTTTTTTTTTTTTTTGAATTTTTATTTTTAATGTAGAATTAATTTAAAATTGTTACAATATAGTAGATAATATGTTAATTCAGATTAATTTTTAAATATATTTTAAGTTAATCAAGCAGCTCAACGAGCTTACGAGCCGATCTAGGCCGAGCTTGAGCTCGAGCTTGTTTATTATACAAGCTCAAGTATAAGCTCGAGCTCAAACTTGTAGGTCTATAACTCGAATAGTGAGCTCGTTAATGAGTTATGCTCAAGTCGGTTCGCGAGCTGGCTAGGCTCATTGACACTCCTACCTCCAATTAACCCTTTAAGATGGTCCCATTCCAATGAAACAATTATATAGTGACACTCTTTGCCCCCGCTATTTAGGGGATCAAGTGTCAAAATTTCGGTCTTCTTTTTTGAGAGAGAATGAAGTACTCTTTGGCTGTATTTTCACCTTTCTTCTCTCTATCAAACTTACCAATTGCATGCTCTTATAACTCAGCTAGACCTGGTTCTTTCGTTTCAGTTCTACAGATATTTCATTAATCAATTCCAAGACCATTTAACCCACAATTCATCTTCTGATTTGGTTTTTTACACTCAAATAAGAAATTTTAAAAAAGAGAAAACTATTCAGTTAACATCTCAAACGGGCATCCTAAAATGGAATCAAAAGTAGAAATATACTCGATGTAATAAATCGATAACCCTGAGATTTCGAAAATAATAATTCAAAAGCAGCATCTAGTACTCAAGGTGATCCTCATGCGCAGAAAATACCTTCCACCCATATCCATTCGCCCAAAAAATACAAAAAAAAAAAAAAAGATCGGGAATCTCAAACACAAAAAAGACTCGCTAATTCATGCAATTCAGATCTTAATCCTTATGCTAAAATGATTAAAAAAAACATAAAGTTGCAACAAAAATACAAAACTTCCTACCTTGAGACCCATCTTCCTTGTCTACCTTTGCCCTTACGCTTTTCCAGATCTATGAGGCAGCCTATATATAGCAGCACAACCTAATCGACCAAAATTACGAAACCTACCACCATTTCTTGAAAGTATCGACCACTGAAAGCATCCATGCATTCAAAGCTACCCAACCAATACGCCACCAAATGCCTATGTTTTTTTGGGCCATGTGGCCGAAATAATTATAAGTTTAGTTGAAGATGCTGATCTTATCCTCTTATGAAAAATTATTTAGATCTTTCTTAAATACTATTTTTACTTTAAAATAATAAATACATTTTCTAAGGTTCAATAATCTAAAACTTATTTTAATTTAAAATCTATGGGAGTAAGCAAGTCGGGTTGAGTTGAGTATTTATCTATTCCAGCTAAGTTTGTTTTGTTTTTGTTTTAACTCAAGCTCATTTATTAAGCTCTAGCTAAGCTAGTTAAAAATTATATATGATTGACCTCAGCTCGATTGCTGAAAGCTCGAATTTGTCTCAATTGTTTAGCTAAATTTTTTTTATTTCAAATTAAAAATATTTAATTTTTTTTAATATTGAATTAGTTAAAATATTAAAATATATTATATAATATTTTTTAAAAATAATTTTAAAATATATTTTAAGTTAATTGAACGGCTCAACGAGCTTCAAGCCAATCTAGGTTGAACTCGAACTAGATATCGTTTTATATACATTATACAAGCTCAAGTATAAGCTCGATGATAGTGGACCATCTCGGAGTAGTCTCAGGGTTAAGATCTGAGCAAGACACCTCGAGCAAGACACCTCGCGGACACCTCGCGGACGACTCAGGACAGTATTAGTAGCTGGAGTAAAACACAGGGCCAGAGAACCATCGAGACAACCACCTGATGTAGCATCAGGATACAGGCCAACTCACAATACAAATCTCTGGTTTAATTCTTCTCCTTCACTTTTCATTCATCAACAATGTATTCATATACATTTTAAGGCCACTTAATTGGCCACAACAATAGACACTACAGGCTAGAAAAATACACCATTGAAGTTTATTAAAGGATCAGGAAAAAAAAACTATAAGCACCGACATCATTCTACCGAGGTAGGGGAAACTTCAGGTTCGTAGTAGGGAGATAAATCAGCAACGTTGAATGTAACAGATATGTTGTAATCACCAGGGAGATCAATCTGATAAGCATTATCACTGATTTTTCTTCCTTCGATTTGAGTTTTCCAAATGCACCAAGAGGAAACCGATCTTTCTGTAAGCAGATCCACACCATATCTCCTTCCTTGAACGTTACTGCTTTTCGAGATTTGTTGACCATGCTCTGACATTTGGTGTTGTGTTTGTAAATCATTTCTTGAACGATCTTGTGCAGCCGTTGAATTTCCTTAGTTGTTCACCATTAGTGTTGTGGTGTGTTTGTTGTACATGTGGAATCAAATCAAAGGGGAGTTAAAGTGTTATTTCCATATACTACCTAGAAGGGGCTTCTACCCGTGGCTTAATTGGTTGACCAATTAAAAGCAAATTCGATTTTAGGTAGTATAAGGTCCCATTACCTTAAGTTATTTCGCATAATACACCTGTGAAGGTTGTTGAAACTTTGATTAACATTCTCAGTCTAATCGCTGATTTGGGGGTGAGATGTGGAACTGAATTGGAGTTTAGTTCCTAGTTTTACCCATAATGTTTTCCAAAAAGTGACTCAAAAATTTGACGTCATGATCTGAGGTGATGGTTTTGGGTATACCATGTAAACATGCAATTTCTTTGAAGTACAAATCGACAACATGGGTGGCATCTAGTGTCTAATTGCAAGGCTTAACAAAATGAGACATTTTAGAAAATTAATCAGTCATGACCATTATGGAATCTTTGTTCCATTGATTCCGAGTAAGGCCTAACATAAAATCTAAGCTAACATTGATCCACGGACCTTCTGGTATAGGGAGAGGTGCATATAATCCCAACTTCTGACTTTGGGTTATGGCTAGTATACAAACTCGACACCTTTAAGCAAATCGCTCTACATCCTGTGCAAGTAGGGGCAAAAAAAAAGTTCTCAAACTAAAATGAGAGTCATATCTCTTCCAAAGTGACCGGCAATACCTGCCTCATGACATTCATTAATGATGGATAATCGAGTTGATCTTTGAGGAATGAAGATTTTATTACCATGGAAGAGGTGGTAGCGTTGGATATGATAAAGCTGGTATGGACCATGCTGGCATTTAGCCCATATGTCGCCAAAATCTGGATCACTAGAATGTGATTCCTTTAGCAAATCAAATCCAGTTACTTTGGTTTATAAGTTCTGTAACACTATTAATCGGCGATTGAGTGCATATGTAACCTGGTTGCACTTTTCGAACTTATGTCTCTGGACGAAATGAAAAGCTATTAAATATTCTACCCACGCAGTATGTCTTCCTTTATTTTTTTATACTAAGGTAGAGTAATTCTTCATGATCCAAGAACAAGACGCATTCATTAGATAACAGATAGTGATCCCAGTGATCTTATTATTACATAAAATTATTTATCATAGACTGAATACTTTCTTCGTGCCTTGTAGAAATTTTCTCAAAAAAAAAAAAAAATCAATAGGGTGTTCCTTTTGGCTGAGGAAAACTCTATTCCTAAATTGGAGTCATCACAATCAACCTCAAACATGCTGTTAAAATTGGGTAACACTACATGAAAATCACCAATTACTGGCGGTCAAAGAACAATCAGAATTATGGGCATTTAAACCGGTCGTGTGACCGCCGGTTTTAACCGGAAGTTTTTAATAAACCGCTCGAAATGCTAGCGATAAAATAACTACCGAATATGGCACTGATTTTTTATTTGGGCATCGTATATTACTGTCGGATAGGCCATCGGTCCAAATCGCCAGATAAACGTAAAAAATTGACCTAAAATTGGCCAAACATACCCTTCTTCCTCATTTCTTCATGTTTTTTTTTTCGTCCAGACGCCTCTCGTGCTCGCCTCCGAATGCGTCCGCAGGACTCCGCCACTGATGCCCTAACTCTGGCTGCCGATCACGCCCTCACTCTGCTCGTCATCACCCTTACTCTGCCCGCTGACGCCCTCACTCCGACCTGCGAACTCCCTGAAGGTTCTCCTTGGATTTACTTTCTTTTTTCTTTAGTCATGGATGTTGATTTAGAGAGAATAATGAGGACCTACGTATGATATTTATTGATTTAGAGATAGCATACGATAAAGTTCCAAGATAAGTGCTATAAAGAGTTCTATAAAAGAAAAATGTTAATAATGCTTACATTCAAGCTATTACTTGTGTTCAAATACTAGATAGTTTGATCAAGTATTTTCATTATTCAGTTTGATTACATCAAGGATCAACCTTAAGCCCATATTTTTTTACTTTAATCATAGAGAGAATAATGAAGACCTACATATGATACTTATTGATTTAGAGAAAGCATATGATAAAGTTCCAAGAGAAGTGTTAAGGAGAGTTCTAGAAAAGAAAGGGGTTAATAATGCTCATATTCAAGTCATTAAGTATATGTATGCAAAAGTTGTTACTTGTGTTCAAACAAAAGGTGGTTTGACTAAGTATTTTCCTATTTCAAATGGATTACATCAAGGATCAACCTTAAGCCCATATCTTGTTGCTTTAATCATGGATGTTCTTACTAGACATTTGCTAGATGTTGTACCATAGTGTACGCTTTTTGCTGATGATATTCTTCTTGTTGATAAGACCACAGAGGGAGTTGAAGGTAAACTTGAATCACTACGGGAAAACACGCGATTACCGTCGAATTTTCCGGCGGAACATTCTGGACGGTAATAAACGGCGCAGGTACCGACGGATTTGCTCGACGTAAAGTTTGCATCAACCTTTCCGAAGCAAACTACGCCGTAAATTCACCGACGTCGGTTCCGCCGGAAAATCCAACGTTGCAGGGATGCCTGAACCATTTCCGTCGCACGTTACGGCGGAACAATTCCGGCGTACGACATGGCGCCGGCGTATTTAAACTCAACAAAATATATCCGACGGATAAGACGTCGGAAATTATACCAACGTCACTAGTGTCAATACCGGCGGAACTTCCGAACCCGAACCCCTCTGGCCGTCATTCGTTTCCTTCCATTCTCTCACTTCGACTACTTCGCCCGTCGCCGTTCGTCGCTCGCCGTGGTTAGACGTCGCCGACGGTCACCGGACTTCGCCATCGACGGTCACCGGACTTCGCCGAGCCTCCTTCCTAGTCGCGCGCCGCCTCTCTCCTTCCTAGTCGCACGCCGTCGAGGAGATAACCGAAGGTATTTGTTTTCAATTTTTTTTGCTATTTCAGTTGGATTACATATAGGATTAGCCTTAAGTCCATATCTTTTTGCTATAGTCATGGTTGTTATCACTAGACATTTGCTAGAGGATGTACTTTGGTGCATGCTTTTTGCTGA